TCGGCTATGAGCCTAAGAGGAATTGTATTGTATCAGACTCTTGAGGTCCAAGATATGTAGTTCCTCGGCTATGAGCCTGAAAGGAATTATATTGTATCGGACTCTTAAGGTTCAAGGCATGTAGTTCCTCGACTATGAGCCTGAAAGGAATTGTACTGTATCGGACTCTTGAGGTCCAAGGCGTGTAGTTCCTCGGCTATGAGCCTGAGAGGAATTGTACTGTATCGGACTCTTGAGGTCCAAGGCGTGTAGTTCCTCAGCTATGAGCCTGAGAGGAATTGTACTATATCGGACTCTTAAGGTCTGAGGCGTGTAGTTCCTCGGCTGTGAGCCTGAGAGGAATTGTATTGTATCAGACTCTTGAGGTCCGAGGCATGTAGTTCCTCGGCTATGAACCTGAGAGGAATTGTATTGTATCGGACTCTTGAGGTTCGAGCCATATAGTTCCTCGGCTATAAGCCTGAGAGGAATTGTATTGTATCGGACTCTTGAGGTTTGAGGCATGAGCTGGAAAAGATACCACGTATGCAGGACATGCCTAAGATTAAAAAATGATATGAGGCTACGAAAAAGAGTAACCGTGACTAAGAAGTCTCCCATGCATTTACTTGGGAGACTATCTTTCACGTAGACTCTCTTTGTGGCGACCAGACGTGGTGTGCCATAACTATATTAACTATACACCTTTGCATTTCTAGTATATGTGGGACAACAACAAAATTTGTATTTTGGGCGATAAGTCTGGATTTTAAAAAGAGGATTATTGCAAAGAATGCCCGCTGGTACTATTAATTACCAGCGGGCCCTCTTTGCAATACACTTGAATACTTTCACTGTTCTTTATATAAAGGGAAGCTAAAAGCTATACTTAACTGATGTGGGACCACAACGAAATACATGCTTTGGGCTAAATACATTAGGGCTTTGTGTCCAAAAATGATGGAAAATATTGCAAATAGTGTCCTTTGGATATATGACTTAAGTTCATGCCTTAATTTCCAATGGGCACTCATTGCAATAAATGCTCATGCTCAAGTATGCCCCTATGTAAAAGGACTTATAGAATAATAGTTTATCGATGTGGCATAAAAATACAACCAAAAAGCCAAAAACTATAGTTTCTTTTGTCTTAATATCAATAGTATGGTATATGTGTTGCCCCCTTATGACGAAAAAGAAATTAGTAATAAGTAGTATCCCACATGAATTTATTGACCAGTCGTGTATCTAACATAGTTCCACATGAGTAGTCGTATATAGATTAATAAGAATATTTTATTGTGTGGGCCATAAGTAGTCGTATTTATAGAAAGATAAGTTGACTATATTGTCTAATGATAGTACCTTTTGAGGTGTGTTGCATTTCATGGGCGTGCAATTGTTCGTCCATCAATTTCGGCTAACTGGTAAGCTCCTTTCCTTACTACTTCTGTAACTCTGAAAGGTCTGATCCAATTGGGTTGCAACTTCTTTACTTGTGCCGTTTCCTGCTTCAACACCAAATGGCCTACTACAAAACTTCTGAATCTGACTCGCTTGTTATAACTATTACGCAACTGTTGTTGGTATGAAGTGAGCTTAATTACTGTGGCATCTCGCTTCTCCTCCAAAAGGTCAAGGCTATGCTCTAGCTGTTTATTATTGTTTCCTTCGAGCAACAAATGTGTTCGAAAAATTGGAATTGCTAATTCCGTGGGGATGACAACTTCGGACCCATAGGCCATTGCAAAGGGGCTTTCCCCCGTTGGCCGGTGTGGGGTGGTTCGGTATGCCCGAAATACCCTAGGTAGATTCTCATACCACTTTGATTTGAACTGCTTCAATTTTTTCTTCAGACAGTTAAAGATGGTTCAGTTAGTTATTTTAGCCTGACCATTTCCTTGTGGATGACTAACCGCGGCCAACTTCTGCCTAATTCCATGTTCGGCAAAGAATTTTCTTGTACTTCTGTTGTCTAAGTTCTTGCCGTTGTCCATCATAATAACCTTCGGCACTCCGAATCGACAAATTATGTTGTTCCATAAAAAGCTTTTCACTTGCTCATAAGTCACACTTGAATAAACTCTGCTTCTACCCACTTCGTGAAGTAATCCGTGGCTAGTAACATGTATTCCTTTTGCTCCACAGCTTTGGGTAAAGGTCCGACCATATCAATCCCCCATTGTGCGAATGGCCATAGATTTGCCATTGCGTGCAAATCTTTAGTAGGCTGATGTTTCATTGGGCCATGTTGCTGGCACTTGTCGCATCTCCTGGCATATTCTTCAGCGTTCTGAGCCAGGTATGACCAGAAGTAGCCTTGAGTTAGAACCTTATATATGAGGGATTTGCCGCCGGAGTGGTTGCCACAATCGCCGTCATAAATTTGCTTTAATACTGTGAGGGCCTCAGTTGGGCTTAAGCACTTCAGGTAAAGACTTGAGAATGATTTTCTATACAGTTGGTTATTTATAATGGAGTATTTGGTTGTGGCGAACCCTACTTTCTTTGCCTCGGCTTTCTAATTCGGAAGAGTTCCGTGCTTAAGGTAAGCTTCCGGGATCACCATTATCTCCTGCCGAGGACTTATACTAGGTTCGTCCAGGATATTGATCGGCACTATCAAGACCAAATCTTCGTCTGAGGAAGATGCCACTGTGACCAGTTGATCTGTTTCAGAATTCTCTTCTCGAGGTACTTGATGGAATTCTATTTGATCGAATCCACATGTAGCACTCTCTATAGCCTCTTTGTATGCTTTCATTCTTTCTTCTTTAGGCTAGTACTTTCCTGTCATCTGATTCACAATGAGTTGTGAGTGACTAAAAACTTTTAGACAATTTACCTGGAGCTGATCTGCCAACCGAAGTCTAGCTAACAAGGCCTTATATTCTGCCTCATTGTTTATGGCAGAAAAATTCAAGCGAATTGATTGTTATAGCTTGGTGCCTTCAGGGATTGTAATAACGATTCCAGCCTCTGCACTGGTTAGATTCGAGGAACCATCTACCCGAAGCTCCCACTGCGATTCAAGAAGCTCAGGCTCTTCGGGTTTATCCTCATATTCCAGGAGAAAATCGGCTAACGCCTGTCCTTTGTGTGACATATTTGGTTCATATGCTATGTCGAAGGAACTGAGTTCAATTGCCCATTTAGTAATTCTTCTAGATAAATTTGGCTTGGAAAGAATAGTTCACATAGGGTAGTGGGTAAGGACCACGATGCTATGAGACTCAAAATAGTGCCGAAGCTTTCTCTTTACGTACACCAAGGCTAGTATGATCTTTTCTGCTTTGTTATATCTTATTTCAGCATTTGTCATCATCTTGTGTAAAAGATTAGGTACTGATTCTTTTCTTCTTCTCAGATTAGCACGGCGCTGGTAGCTATACTGGAGATTGCTAAGTACATGATGAAGGCTTCACCAGGGTTCGAAGTAGACAAGATTGGTGGTTTAGCCATGTAATACTTTAACCGATTGAGTACTTCCTGCTATTAAGGTCCCCACAAATCCTTATTCTTCGATCTTATGGCATCGAAAAATGGCTTACACTTATCTGACAAGCGAGATATAAAGTGGCTAAGAGCTGCGATTCAGCCTGTTAAAACCTGTACTTCCCTGCAAGTTTTTAGTTCCTGATTCTGTATGAGGGCTTGAGCTTGAGTCGAGCTTACTTCTATTCCTCTCTTATTGACAATATGGCCGAGGAATTGCCTGAAGAGACCGTAAAAGAACACTTGGAAGGATTCAGCTTCATGTTGTACCTTCTCAAAGTGTCGAAGACTTCCTGGACGTGCTTAGGATGATCCTCCTTCTTCACGCTTTTAACCACCATGTCATCGATGTAAGCTTCTACCGTTTTTCCCAGCATCTCATCGAAGATCTTATTAATGAGACGTTGGTAAGTTGCCCCAGCATTCTTAAGTCCGAAGGGCATAACTTTGTAACAATAGGTGCCCTTCTCTGTTATGAAAGCGGTTTTCTCTTCATCCTTTGGATTCATAGGGATCTGATTATACCCAGAATACACATTGAGGAATGTGAGTCTTTCATAACCAGTGGTAGCATCAACTATCTGATCTATCTTGGGTAGTGGAAAGCTATCCTTAGGGCAAGCCTTGTTGAGATTGGTAAAATTTATGCAAACTCTCCATTTTTCATTCTTTTTCTAAATTACTACTACGTTCGAGAGCTATTGTAGGTAATGCATTTCTTGGATAAAACCTGCTTGAAGCAACTTGCTTACTTCTTCAGCAATGATTCGATTGCGCTCAGGAGCGAACCTTCTATGTCTTTGCTTAACTAATTTGAATGCCGAATCCACCTTTAGGCTATGGCATGAGATTGAAGGGCTGATTCCAAGCATATCGGAATGATTCCAGGAAAACGCATCTACATTCCGTTAAATGACATCAATTAATATCTCCTTCTCTTTGGCTTTAGGGGAAGAGCCTATATAAGTAATTTTCTGAGGATCGCCGAGGACAACTTCGATGGTTTCGAGAGATTCCTCGATAGGCTTTGTAGCTTCGATTCCCTCATCTGCTTTCAAGTACTTGGGCAGAGGGCTCTGTAATTGCTATTTGGAAATACTTTTGGGGGTCACAACTGGCTGGGACTGCTTGATTCTTTTCTTTGCCTCATTCAATGTCAGTATGTAGCATTCTTTAGCAGCGACCTGATCTCCCCAAAGATTAATAACCTCTTTACCGTTCGGAGACAAGCATCGCATCACCTGATGAAGGGTAGAAGAGACCCCATTCATTCGGTGGATCCAACCTCTTCCCATAATAAGATTATAGGATGGATGGATTTTTGTCAGAACAAAGTTTTCCTTCAATGTCCTTTTCGCCGCAGTGACAGATAAATCAATTACCCCAATGGGGTCCACCTTTGGGCCATCGAACCCCATCAAAGGACTAGAGGTGGCCGAATTGATGATGATGGGATCTCCAGTTGCTCAAAGACCGTCTTTGTGATAATATTGGCGCTACTACCCGGGTCAACCAAACTCTTTTGATCATGCAATTGGCACCAGAAGACTAATGACTAGTGGATCCTCGTGGGGAAATTGAACTCTGGATAAATCTCCATCGCCGAACCCATTACTGATACTGCCCGAAGTGATAGTGTTTACTGAGGATAACTTCCTTAGCTTGTGAGCTGCCCTCAGTCTGGATCGGTACACTTCTTCCGACTCTTGGTCGTCCTCTGATCTCCCATATATCACATGAATGACTTTTACTTGATTGCCCTCCACTTTCCAAGGATTAACCTCCCAAGGCTTCACGTACTCTTTTGGTGTGAGGTAGTCTACTAACTCACCTCTGGTTATCATGTTTTTCACTTACAGCCTAAGGGATCTGCAATCATTGGTTGTATGCCCGTAATCTCTATGGTAGACACAGTGCTTGCTTTTGTCCCTTTGTTCCAAGGGTTGCCTCATTGGCTGAGGGGCTACAAATCTCACCTTGTTTTCTGCAAATAGCAGAGCCAAGACGGTATGAAGAGGTGTGAATCTTTCCTGTCCTTTGCCTCTTCTCAGGTACCTGAGTGATTAGTGCTAAGGCATGCTAGCTACTTTGACTTTTTAAACTTGAAGCTTTTTCTTGAGGCTTATATTCCACTGTGACGAGGGTGGCATGCTATGCTCGGTAGGCTACATTCTCCTTAAGTCGAATGTAGATTTGTGCCCTATCATTGAGAGTCTGCATGTCTGGGGGGGAATATTTGACTAGGGAGGTATAAAACTTAGTTCCTCGGATTATGCCGATCTTGAATGTTTCTATAGCAGTCTCAGGATGACAATCTGCTATCTTCGAGGCCTCCATGTTAAATTTGGACAGGAAATCCTGTCTCATTTCTACTCTCTTTTGCCTTATAGTGAAGAGACTAGAGATGGTCTTCTTCTGCTTCTTGTTTCTGCAGTATTGTGCTAGGAACATAGCGTATAAAGTTTCGTAGTTCGGGATAGACTTGTGTGGCCTATTCTTGAACCATTCCAATGCGGCTCCCGTTAGACTAGTCGAGAAAACCTTACACATAAATGTATCGTTGTGATTGTCTAGAGCTATCTTTTGTGAATAGTGGTCGAGGTGATGAGAAGGATCTCCTGTGCCATCAAACTGAGTGAAAGAAGGCATGGTGAATTTCTTGGGTCTGTCAACAAGGTAAATATCACCAATGAACGGAGTTTTCACTAGAGAGTTCTTATGCTCCCTGGCTATCTCAGCGGGCGTCTGGATCTTCAGGAGCCTCTTCTCGTCAAAGGTCTCCTGGACACTAGCGCCATCCGGAATGCCATTAGTCCATACCGTAAGCTTATGACTGGACTCGGCCTGTTTGTCCTGCATGCGATGAGGATGATTGCTCGAAGCGACCGCTTTGGTTTTTGTCCTCTGCTCTTGCTAAACTTTATTAGGCTGACCCTCGTTAGCCCGACCATCATTGGCTTGAGGTTCGTTAACTAGAGGAATGTTGCGGTTAAGGGGAGGTGCCGCCGCGTCACCTGGTGGTGGCTGTGGTGCTACGTGAGCCATAGCTGCATGAAGAGCATTGTTTCTCTACTGAAGCAGAGTAATCTGGTCCATGCTGGCCTCATTCACTTGACGAAGTGTTTCGAATTGGTGCCAGAACTCTTCTCGCATTTTTTGCATTAACTCCATTTATTGATCAGCTGCTACTGCAGATCCTCTAGTTAACATTCCAGATCGTAGTAACATAAACGATTTGAATCAATCATGGGAGTATATTTTTATACGCTTCCCACAGACGACGCCAAAGTGTAGGTGCAAAATTTCTCTCTATAAAATAATTTAAAAGAAATAATACAACTCACTCAAGATAAAATAATAAGCAATAAGAATTACTCAGAGAAAAGCGTATTTTGCTCGATGATCTTTATTGGAGGTCTAGGCCTCTATTTATATACAAAAAGGTGGCAGAATTATAATAGGACTCGCCTTGCTTGTCCTCCAATTCACTCCATATACATCATTAGTTACAAGTAAAGTTCTTTCCTTTTCATAATTCTTTCCATACCAAACTTTCCTTGCATAAAGTTTTCCTTCTATAATGAATCTTTTGATTAGCAGGATTCATTCATTCTTAAATAGTTTGGACCGAATACATCTTGGGCCAGCTGAGCTTGAATAATGGGCTGAAAGTCTAGTGCCAGTGATCTTGGTTTAAAGGAAGACTCAATTTGGGCTTGACCCGGATTGGGCTTTCGCAATATATCAAAGAATATAAATTTGTAATGTGATGACGTGGACGATCCTCATTGGAGGTGGATTTTTCCCTCCACAGCTACCATTTACCAATTCAGAAATGCGACTCGTATCGATCCGTTTACATTGACTTTTTCAGAGTCTGTTACACTGCGATCGAGATCATAACTGATATTGCGAACCATTCTTCAAAGGCAAGGTGTGTTACCCAGATATCACGATGTGCAATAAAAGAAGATTCCTCCAACCATTTGCGTAACGACCACCAATATATAGTTCATTCAACACGTACCTAATGTGGATGTGTGACCCTGGAGATCATAGACATGTGATAAAATATATAAATCCTTCAAAAATACAACCTTTACTATTTGTTGTCCCAAATCATCATCAAATGAGGCTGTTAACATAATAATATTAGAATATATTATTGTCGTTGTAGAATGATTATTGCCATGATTCATGCTGTGATTATTGTGTATAGCCATTGGTGATCACTAGACTATATATATCTTCTTTTGTACACGATTAAGACATACTTGAATATACATATACACAATTTACCTTTGGGTTAGTGCAAAAAACCCCTTAATATATAGGGTTTGTGCAGAACTAGTCCCTATTTTTTTAAAATGTGCATATTAGTCCATAAAATTTTAAAAATGTGCAAATGCCATTCTGTCCATTTTTTTGACAAAATCTAAATATGAAAATCCTATTTTTCCCTTTTGATTCCCATTTTACCCCTCACCCATATGTGCATATAATCCCCCTTTCTCTCTAGGCGGGGTTAGAAAATGGTTTAGTGTGCCTTATGATATATATATATTAATTCCTTATTCTAGTAATTTTTTTTAAATTTTTTTTATCAATTCCATAGACACATAAAATAAAATTATAATTATAATTATAACTATAATTATAATTATTTAGGGTAAACACAATGGAATACCCTAAATCGTGTGATTATATGTGGGAACGGTGGTGGCGATTTTGCAAAGGGATGGTGGTGGCCGGTTGTGCGTATATTGTTGATGGGTTTAGAGAGAGGAGAAATGGTTGTGGGCAATGGGAGGAAGTGAGAGGAGGCGGCGGCTATTGTGGGGAGGAGATGGGAAGAGGCGGCGGCCATGGTGGGGAGGAGGCAGCATGGGTGATTTTGGGAATTTTGTTGTGACTTTTGGCTGGGCTTGATTTCCTTCTCGATATGGTAGCTCACGTGACTGGGTTGAAACATGGAAGTACCAGTGACTCCAGAATGGTTCTTTGGAGAGTTCTTCCCCAAAAGGGTGGTTCGTCTATTGCCTTAAGCACTCGGACTTTCAGATCATTTTTTAAATGTGAAGCTAGATATGACTGAGCTAATTAACTTTTTTTGGATAAACAGTGCTACAGTGTGTGTCTTATATAGTAAAGGATTGTTTGGTTTCAGTTTTTATTATATTAAGTTTTAGGTTTCTCTGGTTTAACTTATCCTAATTTTATACAAATTGAGGTTCATTTTATTCTTGTCCCAAACAAACATAATTCACAAATTGGACAAAAGGGTCATTTTACATGGCCGGTATTTATAGTTATTAATTTATTCAACTGAAGTGAGGGTATTATCGTCATTTTATACCATAAATAAAGGGACCTATTTGCACCAAGTTGATAGTATATGAGAGTTTTATACTACAGATACTTTTTTGCACTATATAAATATTAGAGGGGTTTTTTTTGCACTTAACCCTTTACCTTTACCTTTCTCTAGCTCTGATTCAAGTCTTACCTAGTGCCTACTGCCACTCACGCGCCTCTTTGTAAAAAAAATAACCCTGCGCACGTAGATCTAACGCGTAACCATGCCCTACACACTCCTTCCATCTACTTCATCGACGGCATTACTGTTAAAGGAAATAATTTACATACCAATGCCCATGATCATAGAGATATTCAAGGTAATATCTCTGGAATTATTTCCTGCAGACACTCACAAAATCTACCCACTGATCAAGGGACTCAGTCAACAATTGATTTCACTTAGCTGCTGCTTATTTAGCGTTCCTTTGTTAGCTCATGTGATTACTCAATTATCTTGTCAAATCAAGCCATTGTACATGTATATATTTAAACTTGCTCATCAATGAAAAAGTTGTACTGCTATGCTTCCATTTAGAAAATTCTTCAAAAATCTTCATGGTATCAGAGCCATTACCTGGAAGCCTAGAAACCATGTTTTCCTTTTCTTCCTCCTCAAACCCAAAGGAAGAGCCTCAAATTAATATTCAGTCCTTCCATCAATGCTCTAGCTTGATTTCAGTCAAGCTAAATACCATCAGTTCTCTTATGGCGATCCTAGATTGTTCCCTTAGTTCGCAGCCTTGGCGTGCTTCATCATCCCACAAATGATGATAAACCGGCTGAAGAAATCGAAGATGGCGAGGGAAACAAAGGTGTTAACCCGCTCTACTGGCCATGGATCAACAACGACAGCCTACTCACTTCATGGCTTCTTGGAACCATGAAAGAAGAAGTTTTAAGCATGATCTTTGGTGCAGAAACGACGTATCAGGTTTGGACCTCTCTTGAGGAGCAACTGCTTCAGTCACGGTGGAAAAGGAAGGCCATCTGAAAAACATGCTAATGACCCTCAAAAAGGGATCTCCATCTCTAGAAGAGTACTTGAAAGATTTCAACTCCTTTTGCAATAATCTCGCTGCCATCAAAAAGCCAGTTTCAGACGTCAACAAGATGTTCCAATTCGCTCGTGGTTTGGGTCCAAAATATATGGATTTCCACATGGCTATGCTTACCAAACCCCCATATCAAACCTTTACCCAGTTCATTCTAGCCTTTCAAGGCCATGAACAATCGTTGGCTGCACAAAGGGAGGAAGAAAAGACGCAATTGGAGCATGCATAAGCTTTCTTTGGACAATGTGGTTGAGGTTGAAACAGTCAAGGGGGAAGAGGACAATTTGTGATACCCCTCGAATCCGAGACATGGGTTGATCAGGCCCAAGTCCAAACCTGAGGGAATATCAAACAATTAACATATAAACGAACACAGAATATAAAAGATTTAAGAATTAGATATTAAATATGTACGCTGAAAAGAATTATTAAATATAAAATCTTCAAAATGATAATGAATAATAATAACCCAATTCTCCAAAACCTCCAAGTGTACAACTCAGGAATCCATCTAGTACCCCTAAACAAAATCCCAACTGAATTGAAAAACTGAAAATAAAATCCCAAACTGAAACATAGAGAGAAGTCTTACGTAAACAGATGAATGCGTGACTGTCTCTGATAAGCATGATTAAGCTCTAAGGCTGGAACCGTCTCGTACCTAAAAAGAATATAAGAGTGGGTCAGGCCCACGAACAAGTTCTAATCTAACTGTAATCCATACAGTGACCCGATACGCAGATACATCCTAGATATCTCACAATATCTATCTAGTCCATAAATATATGTATATATATATATCCACACTAAGGGACATTCACTGGACTACAAAGGGGTCTCAACCTGAATAGAAGGGAACATGCAAAAATACACCCAAAGGTGGGCATGAGTACCAAGACCTAACAGGGTACACCTTAACCTATCATAGCCAGCTACGCATCCACTGCAAATACGCACCCTAATCTACGAGCTTGAGACTCAAGCTCATCTCATGATACCATAATCATATATTTAAAGTCCGTTCAAAACCAAAGTATGTCATTCAATTGTTCATTGATCTGATATACGATTTATAATTCAGTTAGTCACTCAACTTATTTAGTTAATATGACTTAACTACAAACAACAGTTAATTCATGTAGTCACTCAACTTACTCAGTTGATCTGACATTCAATGTTTATAATCCATTCCCTTATTCCCACAGGGTAGGTTTTAGCGGTCTGAGCTAAACCATCCCTAGTATGCCATCGTCCCATACCGGTGTATACGATCCATATCATCCATGTAAATTACAGAACCTAAATAACAGTTTAGCAATTAAAATCCAAAACCATAATTCATTTCAAAACCAAAATCCATGTAATTGCAGAATAGTGTATAATATTTTAGCAATTAAAGTTCGAAACCATAATCCAGTTAATTGCAGAATAGTGTATAATATTTCAACA